GAAGCAAAAAAGATCTGAAATTCTGCGCATGCTGGTCTGGACGTTAAGAAGAAGCAGCCTTTGCTTCTCTCTGTCGCATATTATTAGAGTGGAATGTTTTTGATTAAAGCTTTTCTCAATTATTCTGGGCAAAAAATTTTCCATTTAATCCTGATCTGGGGGAGATCTAGGTAATGCTTTCTACGATCATACCTTTAGATAGATCTGTCGTGGAATCGGCTCACTTTATGGTCTGAGATAAGAAAATTGTTTTCGCTGCCTAAACTGGAGGAGTTAAATGTCGGTTACAATCCAGTGGATCTTGCCTCTTTCGATATGAGCATCCCGTTGGCTGCGAATTTGAAAATACTGAAATTAAATGGGACGAATGTGACTATGTCGATCGTGCGAAATCTTTTGGCCAAAACACCAGAGCTGAAAGAGTTACATTTAACGGACAACGCGTAAGTTACTGACAAAATTTTTTGTTTCATCGTACTCGATGGTTTTTAAGTTTCGTTTGTTTTTTTAGAAACGACATGCTCAGACATGTAGTAACTCTACCTCCCCTTTGCTTCGTCGAATTGCACACATTTTGTCGAAAGAAAGCAGCACTTTAATAGTTTTATGGTTATTGCGTGCTACTTACTGTCGGATAAAAAGGCAGTGTAAATTGGGTCTGCATCATAGTGCCAATAGACGGTGTTGACTTGGAAGAAATTGACAGTTGCATCTGTTTTTTCCGGTTGGAGATTGTCCGTGAGCTACAGGTTGATTGGTGCAAATTCCGCAACACCGTCTTATATCTTCGGTGTCTTGAGCTGGAAAAACCGTACTCAGTGCTATTGTACTGAAAGCAGTGACATACGAATGCGAAACACGGTCGTTGACGAAAATTGAAGTACAAGCACTGGCTGTGACGAAGCGAGCGATAGGACGACGAGCGCTTGCCTTGTTTCTGTGACAACATAAGCAATCAGCCTGTTTATCAAATTCGCCGAATGCGGAATGTCATTGCGACCATGCGAGAATGTAAAATCCAATGGGTTGGGCAAGTTGTTCGCCTTGTTGACAACTGGTGGGTGCCGCACGTTAGTGAGCGGTACTCATGAGGAAGTAAATGTCCAGATTCTGAAGAGGTAAAGCAAATACACTGAGCAGGGTTTGGGTATTAACTGGAAGTGTGAAGTTCAAGAATAGAGGCCCAGACACAGCTGCGCTCTATATGCGGGGGCATTTCAGTTTGTATAGCAAAATGCACTGTTTCAGGAATATAGTTAGTGACCTGGATGAGGACAAAGGAGCAGTTTCTGAGACGGCGGAGTCTTTGTTTCTTGTAAAGTGTAATATTGCCGATTGGAGATCTGTGATTTCGTTACGAAAAATGTTTCCGAATGTAAAATCGTTTTTTATGTCAGAAAATCCTATTCGGTCAACAGTAATCGAACTGAACGTAAGTGCATGCATTATATATGGATGCCTATGCCCATGTAGTCTAGTATTACTGTAACGGTTAGCTGCAGCAATATTGGGACATAGGTTCTGACACAGTTGCGCCACCAATGCATCTGACTCAAGTCTCTCTTTTCACTAGTATTTTCGATTAAATATGCATACAACGGCTTTTTCAGGCGGATAGTAAAAATTACCTCAATGGAATTCGTATGCTGTGTTTGAATCGATGCTTGATTGACGATTGGAGTTCGATCGAGTGCTTAGCGAACATCTGCACACTGGAGGATCTACGACTTGCGTCAATACCTTTGTGGAATACGCTTAAAGAGGATGAATATTTTCATCTTGCTGTGGCACGGATCCCGCAACTAAAGTTCTTCAATGGGTCCTTAATTTCGGAGGACCAGCGACATCAATCGGAAGTGTTTTTCATACGGTTTGTGTTTATTAACTGTTGTTTTTCCTTCTTAACTTGTGTGGGATAAAATTCCGATAAATCTCCTACAAGTGCTTACTGCTGTGACTGACTGGAAAGGTTAGCTGATAAGTCAGTTAGGGCAGCGAGAATCCAAGACGAAAATGCATTGCCTTTTACGTTTTTCTTTAGCAGGACAAAGAAGGAAAACGAATGCCAGGAAATCATTCGTAGCCAATCACTAGGTGGTCTGTTTCATGTACAGCAGCCATGGAAGACTGTCGATCGCGTTGGTAGCTTGAGGTACACTGCAATGACCGAAATAAATAGTACTGGATATGTCCTCTTGTTATTCTTGATACTTTAAATAGCTACTAGAACACTAGTGATTTGTGTTCTGAATTTTCTCCAGTGGTGTAGCTGAGTGTCACGCTATCGACTTCGTCTCGCGCTTTCTGCATCTATACTCGAGTCATATACTCGAGTTAGTGAATCGATCCACTGTGTCGATGACCTTCCATACTTTTCCCTTTTTTTTAACATACCGTGGTTTTCAATCGACTATTCGTTTCATCCACCTGCTGCCTGTAATCCTTGTTATTACTTTTGTTAATGCAGATATTATGTTGACTGTGAAACGAAGCCAAAAGTTTTCGCACGACTGGTCGAACGGCACGGACTTGTGGGTGTCGGGGAAAATCGCGTTAATTATGATATGACACCCAAAAGGCATGCCCTAGTCGTCGTCAAGTGCGAAGAGACGGGGTAAGAACGCATTCCTGCTTTTGTCGCTAATTTTTGCGGAGGTTTTTTATTTTTTTCTGAAGAGACCGTTGGGATTTTATATTAAGTATTTAGATTTTCACAGTTTTCAGATATAGCGATAGTGTGAAGATACGTTTGGCGCAAACAGTTATGGAGTTGATGCAAGTTTTTGAAAAATTAACGAGCATCTCTGCAGAGCGTATGCGACTCTTTCATATTCCTGCTTCCAGTCATTTCCCGACAGAATTGCGTTTGCGAAATCAGAATCTCCACTCAATGCGCATTGATGATGGTGATCAGTTTCTCGTTCGGGTCGGAAAATATTTATTATAATTACTGACATGGTACCTGAGCTATGGAAAATCGGGTCCCTCTCCCTGGGGCATTTTCTTATGCAAAAACTCACTGGCGGTGGAGGTTAAAGTGAGGCAGCTTTTGATGAGTTATTTTGTGCTTGAAATGCTAGGTTCGCGTAATGCTGCTTTCAGCTGGCAGCGACTTGAATATAACCTATGTACTGTTTTCAATCGAAAATAATACTTTGCAGAAGGCCAAGAGAAAATTGATTTCAAAGGAAAATTCTGTTTCTTTTCTTTACTCTGTAAAATTTACTGTCATGGTCCCTGCTTCTAGTTTCTGTTTTATCCGTTCATTTTGCATTTTTTTACCTCCAAACTTATTCCAGGTCAACGCATTTCTGTTTGGGCGCCTGCTGACAAATTTTACTGAAAAAAAAA